AAGGCGCAGATGCTGGGCAGGACATGGCTGGCCGCTGTCTGCAAGTGAAGAGAGAAGACACCCAAGCCCTGGCGGCACCTTTCCAGAGGTGCCTGGGCTTTCGTTTCTGCTTTTCACCTCTCCTTTGAACCTGAAGAGCCGCTCAAAATGACACTGGGGGGAGGGCCATGGGGAGGGCAGCTGAGTGTTAGCCACTCCACCCGGTGGTCCCTACAGAGCAGAGCAACAAAAGCTCCCCGAGGTCAGGGGCCCTGGCGGCACAGGCAAGATGTGGCCTGGGACCTGCCCTTGGTGAGGCGATCTCTGACGTGGACCTGCTGGAAGCCTGGGCTTCATTTGAGAGCTGCTCCCATCCTAGGGTCCCCCCCCCCCCCCCCGCCCCGTTACAGCGCCTGCCTTCCCCAACATTGCATGGGGGAGGCCGGGCTGAACAGGAAGGGAGAACGAGGGAGGTGTCCCCACGTGTGTCTGGAGATGGGAAGGCAGAGTCCCTGAGCAGAGCAGCGCCACAGTCGGTAAGTGGCTTTACTTGAGCTCCCCAGCCTCTTGGGGTTGAGTGGTCTGAGTTACCATCTGGGTGACCTTGGCCAAGGTAAGTGTGGCAGTTACATCATCTGTTGTCAATTCGAGAGGATTGAGGGTTAAGGGGTGGAGTTTAGCCTGTCAATCAGGTCGCAGCTTGATGAGCTCATTTGGAGGCACTGAGGAGATAAGTAGCCCACAGGGGGCAGGACACACTCACTCCCTGGGAGCCGTTGCAGCTGACAATTCACGTGGAACTACCATAGAGCCCTGAGCTGGAGGAGGCATGTGGAGACCCCTGCCAGCGCTGAGATGCTCACAATGCCACTAGAGCCACAAGACTTCCCACCCACTGGCCTGTGATTTTCCTGCATTCGGTGTCATTGCATGTGTTTCGTGAGTCTGAAGAGGACTTTATAGACTGGTATCAGACCTATGGGCTAATATCAGACTTATGGATTTGATCTGGACCGGGCTGGGCTGTTTTCTTAATGTACAATTACTCTTTATACAAAGCTTTCTTATACACACATGAGTCTCCCTGGATTTGTTTCTGCAGTCTACCCAGACTAACACAGTACGTAACATCTGTGGGTCTCCCCCTTGTCTCTAAGCAGGGGCTGGGATAACAGCCGCTCTTCCAGGTGTTGGGAAGAGGGCAGAGTGGGCCCTCACAGGATGACACAGGGTGAGTAATTCATGGTTGCTTTGTGCCACAGCCTGGCACACAAGGTCAAACCAAACTCCAAATGCACCTCCATCAACTTGACGCCAGACCCTGCAGGACCGCGTAGAACTACCCCTGTGGGTTTCCCAAATGGTCACTTTTTATGGGAGCAGAAAACCTCATCTTTCTCCCTTGGAGCAGCTGGTAGTTTCAAACAGCCGGCCTCTCTGTTAACAGTCCAATGCCGTCACCACTACACCACTGGGGCTCCCTGAAAATGGTGTCCATTGGTGCAGAAAATTCAGGGCCCGTGTGTGTAAGTGTGCGTTTCCCCATTCAAGCTGCGGTCACTTGGTTGGAAGTTTAAAAGACTTTCCGTGGGACAAATGATTGAGAAATGGTTGGCTATAGCTACCCTCATCACAGAGACCGAGTCCCTCCAACAAGCAGTATCCGGCCACCAAATTCCAACTCACAGTGACCCCCATGGGACAGGGTAGAGTTGCCCCTGGGGGCTCCCAAGACTACAAATCTTCCCAGGAGCAGAAAGCCAGCAGAGCTCCTGACGAAGTCCCCTAGCTGGTGTCAGCAGTTACCCACTGGCGCGTTCCAGTCCAACCAGGTGCTGGGACAGTCTCCTGCCCAACCCCCACAGCTTTGCTCTGACCCACACCTGAGTGGAGCCTGGTGTGGCGATGACAGCCCAAGACACAGTCCTCGGCAGGTCTGCTCTGTCACGGGCGGCTCCGTGGCAGAACAGAGGAACAGCACCCATGGAGGAAACGGAAGACATCGAGACACAATCTCCAGCACAGCGTTTGTTGCAGCAGGTGCAACTTTTGAAACATGCTTGAGAGACAATGTGCATCTCTACAGTGAAGGCAATTTAGGTCTCGGGGTTTAAAGGTTTCTTTTCAAAAAGCAACCAAGGTGACACTAACTTTGCTGCCCAAGACCTCTTTACAGTGTTAAAAAGCTAGGTTGTGACTTTGAGGGCTAAGGTGTGCCTGACCCAGCCATGGTATCATACTTCAATCGCCTCTGTGCGTGTGAAAGGTGGACACCGCGTAAGGAAGACCGCAGAAGAATCCATGCATTTGAGCGATGGTGCTGGTGAAGGGTACTGAAAGTCACAAAAGAGCAAACATCTGTCTTGAAAGAAGAGCAGTGTGTTAGATAGCATGCTCCCGAGAGGCCAGGATGCCCAGACTTCCTGTCATGAACTTCGGACCTGTTGTCAGGGGAGACCCGTCCCTGGAGAAGGACGTCATACTCGGTAAAGTGGAGGAAGACCCTCGGACGCGTGGACCGACACTTGTCTGCAGCAATGGCTCAAACGAGGGAACCGTGTGAGGTGCGAGCAGGACCCGGCGACATCGCATTCGGCTGGGCATCTGGTCACAAGTTCCAAGTTCGTTGGAACCGACTTGATGGAGACCAACAACTACAACAACAAGGGCTACAGGGGCCAGCTAAAGTTCTTGCC